TCCCCCTTTTTTTTTTTTTTTTTTTTTCCAAATATTAGTTGTTCTGCAAACTGGTAAATGAGTTGGGTTGGGAAAGTGAGAAATTCTTTCTGAATGAGGGCAATTTAGATAAGACAAATACAGAAAATTTTAACCTTACCTCTAAAAGTAAAGTATATTTTTCTTTTATTGTAGGACAGAGATTCTAACCAAGAGGATGACTAACGGTGGCTTTGTATACCGTGGAATCAATGCTCTGCAGGCCAAAATCAACCTCATTGAAAGGTACAGCAGCAGAATGTGAGGCTGGCTTTTTCTCTGCCCGAGAGTAGCTGCTCACAACAGAGACCGCAGTGCTGTCCCCCAGGGTTAAATCTCTCCCAGCACCCTCGTAGCTGCCACCGCTGACACATAACCTGAGTCCCCACGTGCTCGACTGAAATGCAGGTCACCATGACAAGAAGTCAGCTCCCTCCTGGCGTCACTGGAGGGGAAGTGGGTTAGGGCATGCGCAGCACCACTGTATACTCCGTCCACGTGGTTATTTGCTCCTTGGAAGCTTTCCCTGGAGGTGCTTTATTTCCTATTTCCATGCATCGGTCGTTCAGCAGCACCAGTTTGTCAGCGTCGCCTTGCTGGGGCTTTGATTCTGTCCCCAAGTTCCTCCCGGACGGTTCGGTCCAAGGGAGGAGGCGTAGGCCTGGCAGCGAGGCCCTCGGTTCTAGTGCACTCAGGTTACTTGTACAGCGGGCAACGGTACAGGGCAGAGACACTTTGGGCCCGGCCACCCCGTGCAGCTTCCTGCTCGTGCCCTGCTTGCAGCTGACTGGGTGCCTGCCGGCTGTGCATCCTCCTAGTCTGGCAGATCTGGGGAGGGCGTCGCCAGGTGACAAGTGTCAGAGACTGTGAGCCATTGTCCTGGTCTGTGCTGCTCCCTTTCGGTAGGACAGGGCTCGTCCCTGACCTCGTCACCGTGCTGAAGGCCACTGTAGTGTAGCATGCAGAGGTGGGTTTCCGCCCATCTCCGTAGCTCACTCCACTGTGACCTTGGCCTGATACTGGGGAGGCCAGGCATGTGCAGTGGGGGTGCTGGGCCCTCTCAGCGCTTGGCATCCCGAGTCTGGGCAGAGGCCCAGCAGGTTGCTTTTTGCTTAAAATTGTTCTTTTTGTTTTTTTCTTACAGATTGTATGAAATAAACGTGGAAGACGCTAATGAAATAGATTGGGAGGATCTTGCTAGTGCCATAGGGTAAAGCATTTATTTAATATTAAGCTCACAAAACAGTAGAGATAACTTTTCATGTATGGCCACCTTGGGCAGTCTTAAAGAAGGGGTGAAACTCATGCTGCTGCTCATCAAGTGTGCATAAGTGGGAGTTAAACTTTGTCATGTTTGCAAGAAGACCAGCGCGACATAATGCAGAGTGAAACACCCTGCGGAGTGGGCGGGGGGCCCGCTGTGTACCCCACCAACTCCCACTGAGAAATACTCCTGTCCTGCAGTCCGCCCTCGATAACACTGGTCCACTTTTAAATATTTGCCGTTTCTACCAGGTTTTCATAGACTTTGTGACACTGCTTCAGATTGCCTGATTTCTCTATACTAAAATGAGTTTTTAATGGCTTTAAGATATTTAAAACGGGCTGGGGAGGTAGCTCAGTGATTAACATGTGAGAGGCCCTGGCTTCAATCCCCAGGACCACCACCACCAAAAAGAAAAGAAAAACTAAGAGATCTGAGTCTGATTGTTGTAGTTACAGTTTATAAGTTGCAGAGCAGTGCCATGGAGAACACGGAGTCTATTCAAGTACAGTTTGAAACACTGTGTGTCCTCAGTTTTGATAACAGACTAAACCGGGCTGGGGTGTGGCTTCCTGTGCAGTCCACCGAGGCCAGATCCGAGCACAGTGCCTCACAGAGGAGCTGTTTGCCTGCCGTAGGTGTCAGAGTCCAGCTCAGTCTAACTCATTTCCTCAAGCCTGGGCCTGGGTCTGCAGAGTGGCCCCTGGCCCGGGACTCCCCCTAGCTGTCTCCAAGCCTTGGTGTCCTGTCCTTGTCTGTGTGTTTAACCACGGCCATTGCAAGGGTTCCTGGGAGATAACCTGAGAGATTCTCTCAGCCTGGTGCTGGCACCTAGTAGGTGCTCAGTTAATGGGTGCTCTGATGAGCATCCAGTCCTCTTTTAACTCTAACACACAGTTAACAAATAGAATTATTCTCACTGACCGTTTTAACAACTAGACTAGTTAGCTCTTGGGGAGGTATGTCAGGTTTTTATTAAGCAAAAGTGTCTAGATAAATTAGTGATTTTTACATTTTAAAAAATTTAAGCTTTGGTTGACCAGCCAGGCATGGTGGTGCACGCCTGTAATCCCAACCCTCAGGAGGCCGAAGCAGGAGGATCGTCACGAGTTCAAGGCCAGCCTGAACTAGCAGCACTCTGTTTTTTTTTTCTTGTTTCTGTCCCACTTATTGTCAGTTTGAAAATGTTCAAAATCATAGGTATTTTTTATCTTTGCAAAACAAACCTGGAAACATCTGCCTTTGAACTGTGCGCAGTATGTGTGTGTCTGCAGGGCATGGGCTCTGCAGCTTCTCCCCACCATAGCTGTCCCAGCATCCTGTCCAACAGGCGAGAGGCACGATCCCTGCCAGAGCACATGCACCTGAGTGTTGTTCCTACGTGACCACAGCGTGGGTGCAGGGCCGTGTGAGGCAGACAGCAGCCAACGTGCGCTGGTCCTAGGCTTGGTCTCTGATGAGTAACTTAGGTCATCTGAATTTAAACAACTCATCCTGTACCACTGATTTGCTTTCTCTGATGGTTTTTGTTTTTATTTATTTGTTTTGGTGGTGGGGATTAAACCCAAGTCTTCCTGCATACTAAATGTACACCGTGTGCTTGAGCTGGGACCCTAACCCCTCTCTGTGTGTTTTTATACCATATAAACAGTAGTCTGTCACAGGCATCTTATTTTTATCACATTTCTGGCCATGATGATTTCCTGTCCAGGATAATGAAACTAAATATCCCTACAGACCTCACCTAACAGATGTACTTACTGCACAAGTAATGATGAACGATGAATTGTCGTGGAGCGGTGAATTGTGAACTGACGCTTTAATCTCTTCCTTTCTAAAGTGATGTACCTCCATCTTTCGTTCAAACTAAATTTTATAAGCTGAAAGCAGCCTGCGTTCCCTTTTGGCAGAAAAAGACTTTTCCAGGTGGGTGTTCCAAGCGGTCGTGTAGTTGAGAACACAGGTCCAGGGCCGACTCAGTGCTGTGTCTCAGTCACTTTGGCTGGGACTTACCTTCCAGAATCTGAGTCGTTAATCATAAAATGGCAAATCCCAGTCCCTACCGGGCAGGACTTTCCTGAGCGCTACATGAGATCTTGCATATGGCAGGGTTGGGCACTCAATGAGCGCTCAGCAAGTAAGTGTGCTGTGCACGCCCACCACCAAGCACTGTTCCGGGAGCATCGGGGTCCAGTTCTTACCAGTTCCATCTGTGGGTGGTTTTTGTGTTAAGTCCTAACCTCAGACCCGCGGAGCCATGTGGAAAGCTCTTAGAAATAGAGTCCCATGTCTCATCCCAAACCTACCGAATCCCAATCCCCAGGCTGAGTCCAGAGTCTGGATTGTTCTCTGACAAGCTCACAGGGCCAGGCATGGTGGTGCACTCTGTAATGCCCAGACTGGGAGGCTGAGGCAGTGAGTTCAAGGCCAGCCTGAGCTATACAGCAGACCTTATCTCAACAAACAGCAAAGCTCACTGCAGGTCCCCCATGGTCTGGCCCGCATCAGTGTTGCTCTGAGTGTGTGATGAAATACTGCTTTGCCTGCAGCAGACACCACTGCCTAGGTGCGCATGCAGGCTAACTCCGTGACCTTGGGCACGTCTCTGAATGTATTTTTCTCATTTGAAAAAAAGTTTAAAATAGTCCCTGCCTGTACGATGTGTTTTTGAGGATGGAATAAGAGAATACAGTGCACCCTTGAGTTATAACCGGTCTGACATATGAACAACTTGAGTTATACTGGAATTTCAGTTTTAACTTACAACCAAAGTCTTGCATTATGACCCACATGCCGGCCGCTTGTGCTTCCAGATGGTCTCAGATACAGATCTAACCCTTAGAATTCTGGAAGGAACGTGACAACATTCTTTCCTATGTGGAGTTAAGAGAAAAATCCTGGGCTGAGATCTGGCTGGAAGAAAGTGGCCTGAAATTATACAGGAGACAGACTTTGAAGGCTGTGTAGAGGGGCCTGAGCCTTCACTAACCAACCTGAGTTACAGCCAGCCCTCAGGAATGGATTGAGTTCAAAAGGCAAGGGTCTACTGTATAAAACCATTAGGGTCTCCAACGTGGTATTATCAAGATCATATATCCTACATTGATAAGAGGCTTTCTACAGATAATTTCAAAATTAAATTTCTGTTCCCTAGAGATCATCGATTACCTTTATGAGACTAGTCTGCCATTGCTTAAAGAAAAGTTAAAAAAGAAGATGGAGAAAAAGGGCACCAAAGTCCAAACTCCTGCAGCACCCAAGCGAGTTTTCCTGTTCAAAGACATCTTTTATTGTGAAGACGACGACAGTGAGGGAGAAGACATGGAAGAACAGAGTTGAGCAGAGGTTACAATTCCCAGTCCTTTTGGTTGGGCCAAATACGTGTGTTAGTGTGTGAGTCAGCTTTCCATCACTGTAACAAAATACCTGAGACGAGAATGTCTGACAGTGAGCAAGGCCCACAGTTTAGGGAGATCCCTGTCGGATGGGTTGGCTCCTTTGCATCCAGCATGTCCCAAGGTAGTGCATGGCCCATCAGGCGGCAGAGAAAAACCACTCAACTTATGGCCAGGAGAGGAGAGACTGGGGAAGGGGGCTGGGTCCCACAATCCCCTCCAAGTCCCCTCCCCACCTCTGACCTCCCAGGAGGCCCCACCTTTGAAAGGCTCCACCATCCCAGGGACCAGGCCTCTGCCACCTGGTTCCTTTCCAAATTGTACCAGTCAATAAAGCTCTTTCGGTAATGATGTTTATGAAAGAATGTTTAACAGCCAGAGAGGGAGATACAAAATGTTAGCTACCCCACCCCACCCCTCAATACCCGGGATCAAACTCAAGACCTTGTGTTTGCAAGGCAGGCCGCAGCGCCACTGAGCCACATCCCTGGTCCTAAAATGTTAACTTATGTTGTGGCACATTAAAAATTTATTAGAGCCAGTGATTTAATTCAGTGGTTCTGCTGCCTGCCTCGCAAGCGCAAGGGCTTGAGTTCAATTCCCGGTACCAAAAAAAAAAAAAAATTAGCTTTCATGTTAAAGCGTGAATGTGAAAAATAAAGAAGAACATAGGAACTGATGAGTATTATGCTGAAAATAATTGCACTATCGGTTCTATAAAACCCACGTGTCCCAAGCTCCCCTGACAGCAGCGGCAGGCGGAGTCACATCCAGGGAACGCTTCCCGACGGCAAAACTGAGCGAGTTCGCCTCTCCTGCCATCGGTGCCACACCGCTTGCGTAGTTCCAGAGACTCAGATGCACGTTCTTAGTGCAGAAGGCGGGGATGGACAGTGGGTCCGCCCTCCCCTCCGCGGCTCCGCGCCCCCTCCTGTCTTAGCGTGCACCCCACCTTCCTGAGTCGGACTCTAGTGCTCAGGGATCAGAACTGCTCACCCGGGCTGTCCTTGTAGAGTTTGTCCCTGGAGCCGGCTGGTGTTCAGCTGAAGACCAGGTAAAGGCAGCGGTCGCTCCCCTGCTTGAGAAACGGTGGCCCGTCGGCTTGGTGAAAGGGGCCGTGCGAGACCCGAGCACAACTCCTGTCAGTGTCGGGCCGACTTGAATGGTGGACTCTGTCACCAAAGCCAAGCCACCGGAGAGATTTCAAACAGGAAAGCCTAGCAGAGGAGTGAAGGCCGCCAGAATCGCGAAATGGGATGAGGAACCCCACAGGGGAAGATCAGATCACCCCGGGATGGGGGCTGCACCGTGCCCTCGTGTGCCTGTCGGGCAGCTCCACGAACACCAGCCCGTCTGCTGCTGCTGCCCTGCGGTACCCTGCGGCCAGTGCCCCTTCACTTCCGCGTGCCAGCAAAGGAACCTGAGTCTCCGTGGCTTCCGCCGCCTTAGGCCTGCCGGCTCCTGGGACGCGCATGCGCCAGCTCCTGCAGCCTCCCGCTGCGAGGGATTGTGGGAAACCAGGCTCCCGCGCGGTGTGTGTTGGGGAGCGCAGAGAAGACGTCCTGGACCGACGTCACCACCACGGCAAGAGATGCGACTCCGCTGTCATCCGACTGCTCTCTGATGTCGTTTACGTGGCACTGTACGGAGCCGAGCGTGAGCCACACCTGCCACAGTTGGGAAGAGAATACGCATGCGTGTGGGAGTGCCGTTCCCTTGTTCCCCAGCACCCGCCACAGCTATGGAGATGGGAGACATTCAAGAGACGCCGGCTCCTAGTAAGTGTTTGGGCTGTAGCAAGCTCCTTCTGTCCTGGAGATGCCCCAGTCTCCATGTACTGGAACTGTAATTGTATATTCCGCTTGGAGGACGATGTGTTAAGATGTATCAGAGCTTAGAGAATGTACGTATTGATTTCTAGAATTTATTATAAAGGAATAATAGACCTATTGTATAAAATGGCGTGTTTATAATGCAGAAAAATGTGTCCTTTCATATAAAATGTTATATTGTGTATTTCTAGAGTGGAATATTATACAGTTATTAAAAATGATAACATTGATTGACATATGTGAAGCTTAATTCTGATTGTCAGGCTGATTAAGAGATACCTAGAGAGAGGGCTGATTTGTGAGGGCCCTAACTTCATCACTCGATCAGCCCACTGGGAGTTCTTAGCTGATTGGGCTACTAGGAGATGGGGCATAGTTGGAGCAAGTGGGTCACTGAGGGTGTGGCGGTGAAGGGCATAACTTTCTTAGGCTCTTGCTCTGCTTCTGGCTTCCATGAGATGAGTAGCTGTCCCACCCCATGCCCATCCACCGCGTTGCTTCTGCCTCACCGCAACCTACAGCAGTGGAGCAAGGTGACCTTGGACTGAAACCTAAAACCATGAGCCAGATAAACCCTTCTTCCTCTGAGTTGTCCTTCTCAGGTATTTAGTCACAGCAGTGGAAAGCTTACTAACATGAAAAGATAACATTCCAACTGAAATATTTCAGAAGAATGTATATTTTCTCAATCTTGTAGAAGTATAAAGGAGATTTATTACTGAAGCCTTAAAATGTATGAAACAAATTCAAAATGTCAACAGTGATTCTTTCTCTGCATTTATAAGCCAGAACTCTTCAGGTTTATGTTCTTTGGGGTTTCTTGTTATTTGGGGTTTGTTTTTTTCTTCAGTCTTGCTACATTGTCCAGGCTGACCTTGAACTTGCTGTGATCTTCCTGCCTCAGCCTCCCAAGGACTGAGATTATAGGCATGTGCCCCTATGCCCCGCACAAGCTAGAACTCTTGTTTGCAGATGCCAGAAAGGTAGATGTCAACAGCCCAGGAATTTGGACTCCCAAAACTAAAAGGCTATGGGTAGCATCAGTCTCAAGTGAGAATGAATCCATTGCCCTGTGTCTCTGGGGACAGAGTCCCTTGCTGATTCTCTGCAGGGTCCTGGCAGTGCCATGGCCCTTAGTACGTTCTTAGGCAGCCACACTTCTTTGTTTGCCTCTTGTCCCACTCAGGAGAGGCAACAGTCCCTCCTGGCACCCCATGCCCTGGGCAACTGCTCCTCATACCCAACTGCCCATCTCTGGAACCAGGAGGACAGGATTGGCCCCAGCCACCCACTCAGTGCTGTAGCTCTTTAGCGGAGAGGGCAAATTTCCAGTAGAAAATCAGAAAAGGAGGTGAGTGGATCTTGAGAAAGCGGCCCACAATGTCCACGCGTTACAGTGGTAATTATTTGAGCTATAAATTTGACCCAATAAATTTATGTACAAGTACTTTGTAAAAACTGCAGCTTTTCCACTTCTCCCCCGTGCTTCTACCCTTAATGAAAGTACACGTCTCCCCAGCACTCAGGAAGCTGAGGCAGGTGGATATGAGAGGAGACCGCCCCTCTGTGTGGAATTGGGTAACTGTGAGGCAACTCTGGGTTCCCTGGGTAAATGCCCTTTGTGGGATCCACCTGCGCAGCCATGATAGCTTCTGTAATCTGTCACCAGAGGAGCCTAACGCACTCAGTCCTGCCAGGCCTCCGCTCTCCTCCCACACCCGCTGCTCTCCTTTGTGTAAATCCTGCTTGCTATATTTCCAGGGAAACGCCAACGCAAGTAAGCCTCGTAGATATACAAAGAGGTGTATAAAGAACACACTGTTCCGTGCTCTGGAGACTGAAGGGAGTGGCTCGCTGAGCCACAGCATTAAAAGCCACTCTGCTCCTATCTTCTGTCCAGGGTCCTCACACTTTCCTGCTTCAAGGTGGACCACTTCGAGCTCAGGCCAGCCTTGACCTCATAGGTAATTCGGGGCCAGCCTGAACCACATGGCGAGACTGTTAGGAAGGAGGAACAAAGACCTGAGCTCAACAGACAGGGCAGGTTTATTGAGAGGACCGCGGGTGCGAGGACCAGGGTGGCATCTCCTACAGGCTCTGAGGTCTTTTATGGGGTTGGGAGCATAAGGGG